GTTGTGGGTATTTTGATTGGTCGATCGATTTTTGTCTTCCGATTTGGTCGTGCATTGAGAGCACCAAACACTCGAATTTTATCGACTTGACAATATATATATATATATATAATAATAACTAGGTCGTGGTCAAGTCGTTACGGCAAGGCATGGGCATCTCCCGCGCCGAGTTTGACCACGAAGTCCTGGCCATGACGATGCTGAGTCATCATCCGCATGTCGTCGACTTCCTCGGCGCATGCGACGACGCGTCGGAGCTGTCGATTGTGATGGAATATGTCGCGAATGGCAGTTTGCAATCTCTGCTGTACGACTCTGCAAAGCCACAACCTCGATATTACTACTCGACGTATATGAAAACCCTGTTTGCCCGAGATGCAGCCCACGGGATTTTAAATATCCACCAAGGTCACTTTGTGCATCGAGACATTGCGGCTCGGTATGTGCTATTTTTATTTTTCTTATTTTACTGGTAAACGAGGGCGTTGTATTTAAAATGCTTTTTAAATTGAATCCCGACGTGGGTTGGGTGAATTGGTATAACTATATGTTATGTAGGAATTGCCTCGTGGATGACACGTTCCACGTTAAAGTGTGCGACTTTGGGCTGTCGCGACCCATGGATCGCATGATGGTACACGCTACGTTTTAAACAACGATATATCACATTTAAAATCCTTTTTAAATCATGTCGCCGATGTGTTTTCTATTTTACATTGGGCCATCTCGTTTCGAACAATGATATTGTGGAGATGACATTTTAAATCCTTTTTAAACCATCTCGACACCCATCGATGTGTGTTTTATACTCCTTTTGCAGGGCCATGTATTGGATCCAGTATCGTGTGGTCCGTTGAAGTGGATGGCACCCGAGAGTTTGGAGCTGCCGCATGTGTTTTCCACGGCGAGCGATACGTACATGTTTGGCGTGTTGTTGTTTGAAATTATGATGGGCAAGGAGCCGTTCCCGCTGCTGCCACCTCACGAAGCCGCGGCGTTGGTACTGGAAGGTCTATTTTAAATGTTTTTTAATTTTTTTTTAAATGTTTGACTAAGTAGGGCACCGGCTGTCGTTTCACGAGTGGCGTGAGTGCCCTGCAGCCCACCAGACGTTATTAGAGCAGTGCTTTCGCGTTGATCCGGTCGAAAGGCCGTGTATGGGCCAAGTCGCGTCGGTTCTAGACACGTGGTTAGCTACACAAGGATGAGTGACGCTGTGGTGATCGGATTCGGTTGTGTTAAAACAAGCGAATATAATGGTATAGTTAGTGTCGATATAGTTCTTTACAGTTAAATTTGCCAACTTTCCATGGTTCACATCAGCACAATACAATCAATCGAGCTGAGTCATTTGATTGGCTATTATTATCCACTTTGCCCTTTCGGGTGGGAAAAAGAACATGGATTGTAGCCAATCAGAGGCAAGGTACTTCAAATATTGACCAATGGGAGCGATTGGTACCCGGTTGGAAATATATGGGTTGAATCTCCAATATAAATGTGATTTATTCGTTGAATTGTAGATGGTAATTGCACAACCAGGACGATAGATAGTGCAGTTGGGAGACTGTTCCCCTATAATTAGTACTACTAGTACTCCAGAGCACGTACAGTCCGAAAATAAATTATAGACGCACCCTAAATTTTTCCAGTTTGAAAGGAGTACCGTACTATTTTGGGGATCACTATCTCTCAGTTCACTTGAAACTGTTACAAAACTTGGCCCGCAAACGGACTTGGGCACAGTCTCAATAATTCTCAAGAAATCTACAATTTTCAAAAAAAAAAATGACTGAAAAGAAATTATAGACGCACTTTTTGATTCGATCAAATATTGCCAATTTAAAGCCAATCACAGGTCTCAATCATAATCAAATTGCTTACGTACACTGGTGTTACACACCCATATCATCAGCAGCAGTAAAACCATCCATTCACCATGCCGCGAAAACATCACCGATGTCGAGAAAGGCCAAGTTAAAGCCTATTTGGATGTCAATAAATGGTTGCGTTGGATTGCAAGGGCCATTGGACGCAGTGACAAACTCGTGCGGACGTACGTTGCAAGTTTGAAGCGGCCTGCTGCACCCAAACGCCCAGGAAGACGCACAACACTGACCAAGCGAGAGATTCGACGAGTTTTTCGTCTCGCTACACGGAAGGGCATGTCGTCAAGGCAAATAGCTGCAGTACTCAGTGGTAAAGTAACACAAACAACAGTTTTTAATGTGCTTAAAAATTCGAAATTCGCCGAGTCCATGCCATGGAGTACGATGCCGTGGCCAGCTAAGAGCCCCGATCTAAACCCGATTGAGAACGTTTGGGGGGTTTTGGCGCGCAAAGTGTATGCCAATGGTCGCCAATTCGACAACAAGGCCCAATTGAAGGCTCAAATCCTACAATCGTGGGCCGAAATTGACCAAGAGTACTTATCAACCCTAGTTGAAGGTATGCCTACAAGAATGGCCCAAGTTATCCTTTGTCGTGGACAATCAATTGATAAATAGATGTTAATGAAAAAGTGCGTGTATAATTTCTTTTCAGTCATTTTTTTGAAAATTGTAGATTTCTTGAGAATTATTGAGACTGTGCCCAAGTCCGTTTGCGGGCCAAGTTTTGTAACAGTTTCAAGTGAACTGAGAGATAGTGATCCACAAAATAGTACGGTACTCCTTTAAAACTGGAAAAATTTAGGGTGCGTCTATAATTTCTTTTCGGACTGTAGTATTATTGTGGTGTGTTTCTTCTAAACTGGAGCGACATGGAGAATGAATCGATCGACACAACCAAATGTCGGCAGAAGGATTTAGCCAATCAGATTTCAGGAAACTAGCATTAACCTAGTATGTGACTTCAATTAGTGTAATACCAATCTCCACAGGACACCTTTTACATACTACTTGTATGTACTTGTATGTACGTAGTAGTATCGATCGATAGATTTGCGAATCAGCACAAAAGTCCAAAGTTTGGGTAATAGGACAATACCACTTCCTCCTAACGTTGTTGTTGCCGGTAAATTCGGTATTACTTCGAAGTATTACGGATATTAATTATGGTGCACGTCACCTATAAACTACCAACTTTTAAATTTTCTGACTTCTATTTCGTATTCATTACTCAAAATTTCAGCAAATTGAGACGTAGAATCGACAGATCTCAATGTGGCGAAGAAATTCGACGTACTTCTGCTGTAACTGTGTTACAAAGTTGAATAAATACCTGGTGTTTTAGGTAATTCACTGGGGTTTTATAAATGCCAAATAACTCTCAGCAATAATAATCACATGTGATCCTGAAGTGACCAAAACACCTTGGGTATTAATTCCATCGCGTAGTACACGCTACCTGCATGTACTATTCGATGGAGCAAGAAGATGGCGTGGTTCTCTACGATATAGCACCATACATACATCGCTGTACGGTAGAACTCCAACGCATGTCCTCGCTGTGTGTCATTTGTAATATCAAAAGTTGTTCATGGTGACCAGTGAATTGTGCAATTTGGTCCCGAGAATAGCAGATATAACTTCGATTTGCACTTTTCAAATGTGCAAAACGAGGGAGTTGCATAAATGACCTCCCTATAATTACATTCTGTAACGAAGTGTGGCATCCTAAATCACTGTACGGATTATCTAAAACACTGGGGTACCCGATGTAACAAACACCCACGTTTATGGTGTGAATAGCCAAAACGAGTGAAAAGCACAATAGTAGTATTAGTTTTCTTTTCTTTTAAGGTTGATGGATTACTTGTAAGCTTATACAGACAAAGCTACACTACTGGGGAAAATGGTATGGGGCTACCCAGGGTTGAAGGCGAGATCCATGTCCAGGAAATCATAGAGTGGGGCGAGCTGCCGTGATGGTAGAGGAACGGACTCCGGCCCATCCAAGGAGGTGTACGAAGCGCAATCATCCGGCGCCAATTTGGACAAGAAGTCCGCTGCTTGATTGCCCTCCCGAGGTCGGTGTCGCCATGTACAGTGGATTGTAGCTACTAGGCGGCGGGCCTGGAGGTATTGGGCGCGGAGCCCGGGATGACTCACACGGTAGATACCCTGCATTTGACGCATGAGCAGTTGACTATCCCCGTATACCGTAAGGTGGGTGTAACCGCGGGACTGGGCTAGCTGAAGGCTTCGTAGTAGGCCATCATACTCAGCTTGGTTGTTCGTTGTGGCTGTAGGGATGAAATGTGCATCGTAGTCGCAAAGAAGGGGGTATTCGCGCGGCATAACCAGGGCGCCGGACCCCCCACACGCCGGGTCCAGACGGGCCGCTCCGTCAAAGAACACCACAGCGTCCATGCGCACTGGGGTCTGTCCGCGCGGTGGAGGGATGGGTGGGGAGTTGAGGAGACGGCACTGAGAGCCCAGGGCATGGTAGAGTTCTGCGCGGAGCCGATGTCGTCGGCGCGTGTGGTAGCTCGTGAGTGCCGCGAAGTGGGCCTGGAGTAAGAGAGGGAATGTCCCTGGCGGAGAGATGTGGTCATTATTGGCATGGAGGGCTGCGCATCGGTCGTTCCATAGCTGACGTAGGGAGAGGCCACGGACGAGACGCCAGGCTTGATGGCCTAAACGATCTTGGGCGATGCCATGTGTGGTCCAATTGGGCGAGGCTAAGAGCCATGGTGCCGGTGGAAGCTGCTCGCCTTGCAGGATAGAAGCGGCGTAGCTGGAAGTGTGCTGGTCGGGAGTAACTCCGAACCAGAGGGCCAGGACCTGACGCCAGTGAGTTTGCGCGCGCGGGCAGAGCCAAAAGGTATGTGCCGGCCCGTCTGGGGCCTTACAAAATGGACACATTGGTGGGAGAGGGGACGTTCGGAAGGGGAAGGCCTGGTGGTGCCAGCGGTACATAAACCACTGGAGCGCTCCGGGTAGCTGAGAGTCCGTCCATCCTCTGTCCCAGAGCTCGGGGGCATGATCAAGGTCTGCTGCGCAGCACAGTCGGATCTGCCGCCGCAGGTATTTAGTGTCGGAAGGCGGGGTTGGGTTGAGAGTAATATTCATTGCTGAGCTGATGCGCTTAACCACCGGGGGTTGGCGTCGTAGGGTCACCGGGGCTGGGGCAATGGGGAACCACATACGACGGAGGGGTGGAGGCATGGTGGGCTGGCACGTGAGACCCATGCTTAAGGTGAGCAGGTACAGATATTGAAGGTGAGCTTGGTGTATAGGCAGGGGGCTGTGCTGGGGTGTGAAGGTCCACATGTCGCCCAGCCCGGTTTCTGAGAAGGCCGCGGCAAATGTGTCGAAGTGAGAGCGGCGGAGGGCGTGATCTTGGTGGTCTCTAATCCACGTATTGTCATGGAGTTGCCCATGCCATAAATGCCGTCGCCATTCGGATGTGGTTGAGCTGAGCAGGGCCGTTTGGAGACTAGTCGCGGACTGTTTGAGTTCCATGGGCATGTGGCAATGACAAGTGCCCGTTTTGTCCCAAGTGAACGTGGCGGCCAGGCGCGCTGCCTGGAGGAAAGCCATGGTGGAGTCGCGGGCCATTCGTGTACGGGGCCAGGCTTGTGCAAGTGCCCTGCTGGCAAGGACCTGGCCGCAGAGAAGAGAGTCCTCCAGAGGTCGCAGGGGGGTACGGCGTGCTGTTGGGTGGAGGATGTATGGAGATCCACTAGGGAGCTGGAGGCCGCTCAGCGCTATGGCATGGGCCCACCCGTCCGGGGAGTGAACTAGGCGTACAAACCGCCGAAGCGCCTGTTGCTGAGCAATGCGCCGGACATCCGGTAGGCCCCATCCATATTGACGCGTAGGTTTGGAAAGGTGGTATTTGGCGATGTAGGTGGGGAGTTTACCCGGTAGTGCTACTGTGGAGCCGCGCCACCAGAACCGGAAAATGAGAGCCTCCAGTCGGGAGATCCAATGGTCGGATGGTTGGAGGTACGTGGCCAGAAAGGCAATTTTGGGGTGTACGATTGCGCGGAGGATGATGGCCCAAGCGGGTTGATGGAGAGGTTTGATATTCGCCAATCGAAGGCGTTCTTCAATGGATTGATAGCATAAGGACCAATTTGCGTCCGACAACGAGCCGAGGCCCACTTGTATGCCGAGGTAACGGCGCCGATCGGGGCCGGAGACAAAGGGTATGCCATGAACCACCTTGGGCGTGTGGAACGTGTTCAGGCATATGCCAAAAGATTTCTGGAGTTGGATGTGGAGGCCCGACATATCCCCGTAGTCTTGGAGATGTCGAAGGATCCAGGGGAGCGAACTAAGGCGTTGGAGATAGATCGCTGTATCGTCGACATGGGCATTGCAGATCAAGGGATGGGATGCAAGGCCATCCTGAAAGTATTAGTTACTACTAGTATAGCACCACTGCACAACTGTACTGTACCTCGACCATGCTGCGACCAAACCAAGAAAGTCCTGTACCGGTAGTATTGTCAACATACCGTACAGTAGCAAATCGAGCCTTGTGGAGGCTCCATCAATACGACTTGAAGTACCTCAATACTACTACTGTACTAATACATTGCGGTACAAGCTCTTCGCAACGTAGTTGGGGATATGCCGATGCCAGCAGTGGATTGCTCTTCTACCATTTCCTACTGCACGTACATACAGTAGTACTATTAGTTGTATGGTCCTACTACTGTCAGGTACTAGTAGTAGTATTATAATCCCACATTCGTGATATTTGCAAAATCACTCTGCCTGCCACAAAAAATGTCAGAAAACACCTTTTTTGCAACTTTTCAGAATTATTTGGACAATTTTTTAAACGACAGCTTGTGTGTATTTGGCTACCAAATATGACATACTTCAGTAGTATATAAATGGACATAATACGTCGAATTTCTACTGGTTTCTGACAAAATAAAGTTCCAACTGCAACTGTCCAATTTGTATCTACATGATATTCCAGTAATAGTTCTCGTTCCATCATGGCATCCAGATGTCACATCAAAGTACTTTTCAAACATTATCTTTTCACCTCCCATTTGAAAAGGGAATTCTCTGTCAGAATATTATTTGAGATCAATTTTCCTGTGGCGTCCAGACTTGACCTAAAACCAAAATATTTTTCAAATATGTTCTCAACTCCAAATTTCTGTCAGAATATTATCATGGGGGGCTGGCCTAGATGCCATGATACTGTTTTCTGAGAAAAGGGCCGTTTTGCCAGGAAAAAGCTTGAATTAAAAAAAATGGAATTCTTCAAAAAACGGTGTCTGGATGCCTCAGGAATGAGAAAAAAAATCCTCCAGAAATTTCGGGTGATTTGCCCAAATAATTATGACAGAAATAAAATACGCCGATTTGGCGTATTTTTTTCCTGACACTTGTCCTTGCTTTACATTTGTGATATTCTTGGAATCTTCAGGAAAATTGGAGGCATCCTGATATTTCACAGTGATGGTATGATGTCAGTTTTTATACGATACTTTGGGGACTTGGCGAAAAAGGAACAAAATGTCAGATAGTTTTCTGACGGAATTTCACTTGTGGCATCCAGACCAGCCGTCGACATAAACATTTCTGTGGCATCTAGACTAAGTAAAGAATCGTCGTAATGCGGAGGAATTTTAAACTTGTAACGTTACATTCAAAAATACCGATAATATAAGATTGCAAAAATTATCGAGTTATATAAGATTGTAAAAATTATCGAGTTCATCGTTTAATTTTGACGTTAAATCTCCAGAGGAATGCATTTTGACAGTCAAATGTAACCATCCTTTTCATACCTCTTTAAATTATTGTTGTTGATATTGGAACTTAGCCCATACATGTACATGTACAGTACATCGTTAGGAGTTAGGGCGGTGAGTAGAGAGATTTTCAATGTAAGTCCTGCTCACGTGTGCGACGTCCAGCCAGTCAGAGACACGCGCAAACACGTGGCGGTAACGCTGGTAATTATACTCGATACCGATATGTACTATTAATACTTTTCCCTTGATGCTGTTCTGGCTTGGCCATACATGTACTTTGTACAATGTGTTATATAATGTTACACTTCTGTAGGAGAACATCACCTAAACAACAAATGCTCGTACTGTGAAACTCAAGGGTAATACGTACTACTATTAATAGTACACTCGAAGGATAGTACTACTCCGAATAACGTTAAATATGTACTAGTATCGAGTTGGGGGGTTCTTGACCCACAAGTTCGTCGAGGAGGTCGTGGGCCGTCGGGCGAAGCGCGGGGTTCCTATGGAGGCACAAGTGCGCGAACTTGACGAGCCACGGTGGCATTTGACTGGAAAACCGGACCGGCGCTGCGTGGTTGACAATCACACGAATGAGCACGGCGTCTGTGACGTGGTGGCCGCCAGCATTTCGAACATCGTGATACGGAACACGGTGTGAGTCGAGTTCACTGAGCACCATCCCGAGCGAATACAAGTCGGCTTTGTGGCTGTAGTGGCTCGACTGGAGCACTTCAGGTGCCATGTACCTGTACGTGCCCACCCCCCGGGTCATTGTGTTGGAGCAGGCCATCGCTCGAGATACCCCAAAGTCCGTCAGCTTCGTGCCTTTGGCAGAGTCCAGGAGGACGTTAGCCGTCTTGAGATCTCGATGGATCACGCCCTGGTCATGCAAATACGCTAGCCCTCGGACGATGGCGTACACGATCGGAAGCTTCACCTGTGGCCACGACAACGATTCTACTGAATGGGATTTTAAGTACTCCCGCAAGTCGCCGCCGTTCATGTATTCGAGCACGCATTGGAAATCCGTCGCTGAAGTCGTCGTAGTACTACTAGTACTACTACTAGTAGTAGGACACGACGTCGTCGTCCATGCCACCCCCAAACACGCGACAATGTAAGGCGAGTCCAATCTACGACAGGATAGAGGACGTGAGGCGATATTATTTTTAAAGTAAATACTATTTTTTTAAGGCCAAGTCTGGAATGCCACAGAAAATTTGATGTCAATTAATATTTTTTCAAATGGGAGGTGAGAAAATATTTTCAAGATATTTCGATGTGACCTCTGGATGCCATGATGGAACGAGAACTAACGATATTGATGGAATATCATGTGGGCAAAATACTTTGGATAATTGCATTTTAACTTGTTTCTGCAACAATACAGTTCAAACTCGACGTAATTTATATACGTCAGATTTGGTAGCCAAACACACAAAAGCTGTCGTGTGAAAAATTGTCCAAATATATCTGAAAAAATTGTTTTCAGACATTTTTTGTGGCAGCCAGAGGGGCCCTAGACATTCGATATTATTTTTATAAAGACAACATATTTTTAAATATTTCATTCGGACGATGCATGTGCACAATACGAAATCACAATATATATATATATATTAAAAATGTCTACATATTTGAAATGCCAAATAAAAAACTTGGACAACAAGATACGATCTATATTTCAAACGAAATACAAAACCCCGTCAAGTCACTCGTCGTACCGCGCCAAGAGCGTCATTTCGCGAATGAAATTCTGCACGTCAGATACAACATGCTGGCGCCGCGGCACCAGCTGCTTGATGGCCACCACTTGGCCGAGGCATGTGCCTCTATAGACCTGTCCGAACCCACCCGTGCCAAGCAGCTTGCCTTTCCTAACGTCATCACATGGAATACGACACCCGACCAGCGCTGACAGGTCCATGTCCGTCGAAGTATTGCTAGCAGCAGCAAAATCCGCCCCGTCCATGTCGTTGGGTTGCTTGTGCTGGATGTATGGGACTTGGTCGTTTGGCATGGTTTGCTTTAGCCGTCGAGATCGACGCAGAAAGCAATAGACGGTTACTGCCACGAGGCAAAGCGGGATGGCGATGGCGACGACGAGGGTGGTGGTGGTGGTCATTGAGCTGGAAGACGAGGTGGAGGATGTTGGTTGCGCTTGCTCCACTTGTGGAGGAATCATGGTCACTGGGGTGCCTTCATTCGAGGTTGTACTGGCAGGACGAACGGTCGTGGGCAGTGATAGGGATGAAGAAGTCGTGGCGCAAAAGTCTGGAAGAGGTTGGGATACATCGACGAGTTTGCATGCCAGGGCCACTGGTGGTGGTTTGATGGACGGATACACAAAGAGGCCGAGACATGACTGCGCTGTCGTCACGTAGCTGCAAACGGTGGGAGTTCGCGTGACACATTCGAACGCGTCGACGCCCTCGACTTTCGACGTGGCTACCGACGGTGTGGCCCGGTCGCTGCTTTGACATTGATACACGGACGGGTCATTTGAACCCACCGCGTTGGACGCGCTGCAGTTGAGGTTTGTCCCCGCACGCAAGTACATGGGGCAGGCCACGGCCGCCAGAGGCATTGGCTGCGCTACGCATTGACCGATGCTGGGGAAGCTGTCACATGCGATGCCGTTCAAAGACGAGCACTCGACGTCCCCCGTGCCGCTGCGCAGACGAATGGACCGGTACCCGGCGCTCACGGTGCCAAAGCACGTCCACACCATGTCAAAATGGTAACAGATCCAAAGCAAACATGGAACTGTGTCGTAGCATTGTAACCCGCGCTTTGATTGGTGGAATTATCAACCAATGATATGTCGAGAATCAGTATATCCCATCCCGAATATCCGTAATCCCGAATTTACCGTCCACAACAACGTTTATGGACTTGGACGTGCTGGGTGTCCTAACGTGACGGATCAGTGAGCAGCCGAATTTAACCTGCATTCATTTGACCATATCTCGTGAAGTTCAAATGGCCACGACGTAAACGAGGCAGTGCCGAATTCCCTAGTTTAAGCTTTATCCCATCATCCGAATACAGATCCATTTTTAAAGAGTTTTAATCATGGCAAATAAAATGGCAAAGTTTGCCGCTCAAACAGGCGATCAGTGGTTAGCCGAATTTTAAACTGGTTTAAAGTATGTTGTATTTTCAGCTTTTGAGATATGCAATTATACATTTATAGAGATATATTACATGTGTACAGTAATACATATTTACAGGTTCTACTTCAACTTATTCGATGCTCCACGAACCATGCCAAGCCTTTAGCGCGTAGCAATCGGTTAGACGATAAAGGCAGTGGTATTGCGGGTGCCTTGTCTAGGATCTGGCTGCGGTTCACAAGTTGGTCGTCGCGCTCCATTGCTAGAATCGATGTGACGAGGTCGTCTTCGTACTGCCGATGGGACAACCCGTGTGTGCGAAACGATTGCTGAGGAATCGAATATGCGTCTACAGCAGCAGGGATTGTTTGTTACCTTCTTGGATATTACGTCTGATATGGCCTTAGCCGCAACGTCAGCCATGTACGACGTTCTTCGCGGCATTTTGATTTGAATCAAGCCGAGACTCTCTATAAATTGGTAGTCTTTCCCACCATAAATGTTTGAAGGTGTTAGTTGTTGCAGGCTTTTATTTTATCCAATCATATCAATTCTGTAGTTCTATTGGGTAATGCGGCTCGGCTATTCACTGATCATTCGGCTTCTTTCTGATCCGTCACATTAGCCGTCGCAAACGAGGAATACACTATCTGAACCGTACGATGCAATTACAAGTTCAAGATATCATGTATAAACAGCTCCAAATAAGACCCAGGCAGGATCAATTGGAAGGACACACAACTATGGGAGCGTGTAGTGTAGGCTGACTGTCGCAAAAGCGCTGCTGCGGGAGGCTAGTGGCGTGAAGTACACTATGCACATTTACTTCGGGTCACCAGGCTCCCGCTGCAGCGTCTTAGAGCATCTCCTCTCGTTGGGACTTTTAACTTGGCTTTATTCGGATAATGTACGGATATCTGTCAGATTTATGGATGTCACAGCAAAAGCTTATTTCCCCCACCAGTCAGACCTATCCGAGACGAGCTACAGCTGTATGATCTCATCGCCCTCCTCATCCGAGGACTCCGGCAGCGACTAAGAGTACATGATGTGTTTCTTTCCGACTGTACGGACCCACCGAGGATCTCACCCAGGACTCAGTGGTAACATTGACCGCCAACGCGGAGTTGGAGACGAGCAGCTTTGCAACGACTACTTCGACGACAACCCGACGTATGACGACGGTCAGGCACATGTCAATTCATCCAAATCGCACATGTGTCTCATAGGTCCATTCCGAAGACGATATCGCATGAGCCGCGGGTTGTTTCTGAGCTTTTCCCGTGACCTGGAACAGCACTCGGTCTTTGCAGCATCACGACGCTACAGGTGTGCTTGGATTCACTACAGTCAAAAAATATACTGTAGCAATGCGCATGCTTGCGTACGGCTCTGTGGCCGACTCAATCGACGAGAATTTTCGCTTGGGCAAGTCGACAGTCTTAAAGACTTTCGAGTTATTTTGCGCTGCTATTGACGAACTCTACGCGGTTGAGGTTTTAAGCCGACCCACAGCTGAGGAAACGCAGCATCTGCTTGAAGAAAATGCTCTGCATGGATTTCCTGGGATGATTGGATCGTTAGACTGCAGTCACTGGGTCTGGAAAAATTGCCCAGTTGCATGGCATGGTATTTTGCTTCTATTATTCAATTTTCGTACAAGATATAAATTATTTTTGTTCGTAGGAGCATATATGGGCAAAGAGAAAAAGCCAAGCATTGTGATGGAGATTGGTGACTGTACTTTTACAAGCCCGTTAGTACTATTTTAATATATACGACTAGCTCAAAGTTAGTACCTGTAGGTATTTTTTGGTGGACGGAATTTATCCACCTTCCAGCCACTTTGTCTCGTCTATTTCCCAACCAAACGACTGGGCCTCCAAAAGATTTGCCACGCAACAAGAAGCAGTTCGCAAAGACATGGAGCGCTGTTTTGGGGTGCTCCAACAACGATTCGCCGTGCTTCGAAACTCATGTCAACTCTGGGGCGCTATGCACCTAGTGGCTAAGGTGTGCTTAATTTTGCACAATATGGTAGTGCTAGACGAAGAGTCACTTGCCGAGACGCGAGACCAGTACGAGGAAGCCAGCGTAGCAAGATGCAACATTTTGGTTACAGAGAACCATTTTGGCCCAAGGCAACGCGACCTCGTAGCCAAGCGCAACTTTGATTCTACAGAGCATCAACGCACGGAAGCAGCACGGTTAAAAGCTGCGTTAGTTCAGCACATTTGGCAGATTAATGGTGTTAACAACATCTAATTCGTCCTTTTCATTTTGCAAAATTATCACAAAGCATTCGACCGATTAATACTTGAAGTATATCAGTCAAGAAATTATCAAGAAATTATCGATTATGTTTACTCGTTTGCATTAATTACATCGACGTCATCCTCAGCAGATTCCTCCGCTTTTAACGAACGAGCAACGTTCGCTACCGACCTCGTTTGCAATTGACGGGCGCGAAGGAGCAAATTAGCTCTCAACTGCGTATTGAACAGTACAGTGTCTTCGGACTGAGGATCTTGAGCAAATACTTGGAACATAAACTTCAACTCTGCCAGATGATGTCGCTTGGTCATATTACTAGCCTTTTCCTAGGATGCCTTCACGAATCGAGCATGGAAAGCGTCAAGCGCTACCGTAGCTTGCTTGACTGCTTTTGCATGTTTTGTCCCCCCCGGGGCGCTGAAGTTCGACCGCCTTGCACTTGCCTTGTACCGTTTCAACTTCCACACGCCACTTCGGCACGTCTCGCACAATCCGCCAGCAGGTAAGAATTGATGTGCGTTCGACACCGTGCAATTTGGCATCAGCAATAGCATGTAGCTCATTGCTGATGACACCATCCTCGTTCCACCCAGATGGGATTGATTTCAACGCTTGGACGACGGTTGCATTGAAGCTGGACAGCATGGGACATACTTTTTTCTACCGAGAGATGATTGCTCGGGGCTAGCGGTCTCCGTGGCGGACAGTGGACTTGTGCGCCAGCCAATGCGCGTACACACGCTTGTTAAGGTCCGAGGACTTCTGTGCTGCCCCAATTGCACGATCTCCTGAGATGGCGAGCCACGACTTGGCAAGCTGAACATCTTCTTCCGTGCCCCATGCGTCTCCCTTGTGCCATCTTGTATTGTGATTTTTGGTGATCACAGTAAATTGAAGTGGAATTTGTTTAAATATTTTATTCGTGACCTTGTTTTACAATGTGGAGCGTTGCCTTTGTATTGTATTTCAAAATATATCACTTCTCCGGATAGCTTAAGTCTACAACAAAATTCCCGACGAAAAAGCCCTATTATAGATTTTTTCGGGGCTGAACTTATGTTTGGACTTATACAGACCAATTTATTGTGGTCTGTTTAAGTTCAAACAGGCCTCCTAAAACCTGGGAAAAGCTAAAAATAGGCTGCGATATCCCAAATTTAAGGCTGTCCAGAATCCCAATTTTAAGGAACTTCCCCAAAATTGGGACCAGAGTGCTAGTTCCAGCTTTTGTCGGCCTCAGCAGCTTGTCTACGAGCGGTGTAATGAATGTAGATATTGCAAACTTAGTTGCTGGCTATCGTTCAAAGCTAGAAATATGGTGATTGCAACATTGTAGCATGAGTGATGTGTCCTCAAAGTAGCAAAAAACATAAATATAACCTACTTTGTAAGTAAATATCTCGATGAATATAGCTCGTAGCGACCTCTATGATACGTCATTATGTAGAGATAATGATTGTGAACACGCAGATTGAGTCTCGGGTTGATCGATTTACATTGACTCATGTTATGTGGTTTTGAAAGTGGAGGTCTCAAATATAACATCCAAGTTATCCAACTTTGTTAATCATATTCCGGAGTATTTGCTTCCACATATAACGTCACATACTGTAATATCGTTTTGATGTCTTGTTTTTAAAGATTCTACTCATGCCATGATAAAAATAATGAAACGGTTTCTTGTTTCGAAGAAGTGCGCTTCCATGGAGCAAGATTGACGACCAAATCGCCAGCGAAGATGCGACGACGAAGGTTTATGTCAACCAGGTGAAGTATGAACTGATCCGATCGTGTAGCATTCGATTATAGGCATCAGCTTGATGATGGAGTTCGTTCTAATATGACCATTTCCCTCATCCGCTTACGATTGTTGACAATAGCATTGGCGGCCTGATGTTCCGCGCCGAAGACGAGCTGGCCGAGGAGGATGATTTTTGACGCCGATAATAAGACAATAAAACAACATTTCTGACTATTTGGACAAAAATCCCAGAAATAGTGATTTTTTTCGGCAAAATCCCAATTTTAGCTTATTTTTGTTAAAACTGGGATTTCGCACCTGTTATGAGGCCTACAGCAATAAATCCAACGGGTGGGAGGATAAGTCCAAAGTTGGTCCTATCTAAGGGATATCCGTATAAAACTAAGCTATAAGTCAGACGAGTGGAGATGCTCTTATGGCGCTATCTCTTATCCACGCGCTCGCTGCAGGACTCCAGCCATTCATCGTATTATTTAGGGTATTTTGAGGATTCCTCAAACCTGGCGTTGTGCGACAATTGTCCGGATATTGTCCAAGAGGTACAGTAGTGTACCGATCAGTGTGCTTATGAAAAGGCACACTAACCACTCTCACTACAGTACTTGACTTTTTCGACAGGCTTTTTGGCCAAAATATGCTGTCCTACCAGTGTTGGGCGAAGCAAAAACCAAAGATTACACACCGCCCCTGGTCGAGCAGGCGCGTTACAATTGGCGAAGCAGTTCCACAACAAGTGCTTCTAGAATCGGCCCTCGCGGAGGAATGTCTTAAACAAATGATAATCCAAACTCAATTAATCTACCCTCTCAATTCCGGATCCGTAAGTGTCCGATCCTCTTCTTGAGACCTCTTGACACCTACTATTGTTACGTGTACTACTGTTTTAGTAGGTAGGTACAAAACGTGACAGTTGGAATTGGCAATAGGTGTATGGCAGGCACCATACGACTGGAAGAAATTCCTGACGAAGGCCAATCACAACTAGTGCATGGGTCTACGAGTACACTTTAGTTATCTGGATACAGTACCAGCTGAATTTTGGAAAAACTATATTCGATTTCCGATTGTAGTGCAAGACTCTTCAACGTGAAGACAAACCTCCATAAAGCATTCGATTCTCAAGAAAATTGTGGTATAAAGAAGTTATGAACTTTGGTTGGCATCCAGACGTACAAAATCTCGAAATGGAATATTTCGATTTTGCCAACTTTTCTTGGGAAAACGGCCATCTTAGGCCAGTTTTTGTGGCATCCAGACCCGCCCTAAACGTGGGACTCGAACCCTCAACCTCCGGGTTCCACGCTTGTTACTGACACTCGCCTAAATCGTCATTATTAAAATGACTGTTTTGTATTATGTGAAGTAAATAGATACAATACATTAATTCTAATCCGTACAGTGGGACTGAGGATCAGGTGCGAGTAAGGCTACGCTACACTTTTCCACATGCCTGTCTCTTCGAGATGGATTAGTGGATGGATGGTTAATTGAGTTTGGATTATCATTTTTAAGACATTCCTCCGCGAGGGACGACACTAGAACCACATGTTATGGAACCGCTTCGCCAATTGTAACGCGCCTGCTCGACCAGGGGCGGTGTGTAATCTTCGGATTTTACTTCGCTCAACGCTTCATACCTCGTGTGGATGGATGGATGGATGCCTTGGTCAATGATATTTGTTATAGGAATCTGGTTGATTGCGTTGAACGACATGCACACCTGGTCTTCACTTCAATGGTTAACATTTTTGGCCAACTTTATTTTCGTTTTTGCTCTGCGATGGCCAAAGTCCTCATCTCCCTCAGCGTGTTGACCGCTGCCGCTACGGCTGGCTCCGTCACGGAACTCCCGGAGTCTGTGACCAAGCTCATCGACTACTCCATCAACCCCTGCGACGACTTTTATCAATATGCGTGTGGCGCGTGGTACAAGGATGCTGTGATACCCCCAGACGAGTACAGCATCGATTCATCGTTCGACAAGATCGAGGTCCAAAACGAAGCCGTACTAAAGAAGATTTTATCTGGCAACAAACCCAAGCTTGGTGAGTTTTACAACTCCTGTTTGGATACGGCTACGCTATCGTCGCTCGGCCTGTCTCCGCTGGAGGACTCGTTCAAAGCCATTCGGTCGGCCAACAATTCGTTGGACCTCCTCATCGTGGCTGGTGAATTGGCCAAGAACGGCATCCCTGCGTTCGTGAACATCTTCTCCAGAATTGACGACAAGGACTCGACCAAGAAAGCCCTCTTCGGTGTCCCTGCTCACCTGACTCTGAGTGGCTCATACTACACGAACTCTTCAAAGTGGGAGAGCGTCGAAGCCGACTACAAGGTGTACATTTCGACGGTGTTGCAGCTAGCTGGCTACACTGCTGAGAAAGCAGCGGCTGCCGTACCGGTGATCATCCGTTTCGAACAAACTCTGGCCGGTGTCGCCCTCAGGGAGATCAAGGAGGTCGAGGCCGCTGTGCCTCCGTATACTGTGCTTACGTTTAGCCAACTGAACCAGAAGTACCCGCTGCTCATCGGCTCGTGGCTGAAGGCCCACGGCTTCGACATCTACGACCAGTGGAATGGGTCGAACGACTGGGTGGGGTTTTTCGACTTGACCTACTTTGACAAGGCCGAAGTGTTGTTGAAAAACACGACGCTGGACAACCTCCGTACCATCATCGAGTACAAGCTCATCCACGCCTCGTCGAACCACTTGACCCCTGAATTCCGCACGGCCAACTGGAATTTCATCGGCAGGAAGATCTACGACGAAAAGGCGGAACCTCCTCGTGAAAAGTTCTGCAGGTATGACACGGAGCACACCGTGGGGGAACTCTTGGGTCAGTATTTCTTAGACGAGGTGTTCCCGGCTGATGCGGCCAAGAAGGCTGACGAATTGGTCAAGGCCTTGAGGTCGTCCTTCTCCACTGGTATTGCCACCTCCGACTGGTTGGACAACTCGACCCGCGCCAAGGCGCAAACGAAGCTGTCCAATTTTGTACACTTTTTGGGTGGCCCGGAGAAGCCGCAGCTGTTCCCCACGTTGACGTTTGACTCGAAGGCGTACTTGAAAAACCGTTGGAAGGCGTCTCAAGTGAAAATCGACACCAACTTGAAGCTGAACGGCCAACCTGTCGACAGGCGCGAGTTCGAGCTGCTCTCCTATGAGGTGAACGCGTACTACAACCACAACAAGAACCAAATAGTGTTCCCGGCCGGCATTTTGCAAAAACCATTCTTTGACGGCGAGTTTGACGCCGCCCAGAACTTTGGTGCCATCGGGACGGTCATCGGACACGAAATTACCCACGGGTTCGACAACAAAGGCCGCAATTTCGATGTCGACGGCAACTGGAATCCGTGGTGGTCTAACGCCACTAGCTCTGCGTTCAACACGAAAGCCCAGTGCCTTAGCGATCAGTACGGCAACTTTGTCGTCAAGAGCGAAGTCACTGGCGCAGACTTGGGCAACGTCATCAGTAAGATCACTTTGGGCGAAAATATTGCGGACAACGGAGGGCTCAAGACCAGTTTCCGCGCGTACCACGAGTACTTGAAGAAGTTTCCGTCGCAGTACACGGAAGAAACAGGCAACAAGTTGTTCTACTTGTCGTTCGCCCAAGCCTGGTGCTCCAAGAACACCGATAAGTACTTCCTCGCGCTTTTCAAGACGAAGTACCCGCCCAAACGGTTTCGCGTGACAGGGGCGTTGCAAAACGACGCTGAGTTTGCCCGTGTGTTCCAGTGCCCCACCGACTCGAACTTGAACCCGCCCAACAAGTGCTTGTTGTGGGAATAGGGTTGATCGATACGAATATATGTAGCGTTGTGCATTTTTGTAAGGGAGAACTAAGAAAACGATGTCTTGGTTGAAGTGGGTTGCTTTCATGTGAAGCGCACACAAAAACTAGTACTATTAATACGTAGTACGTAATGTATATATAGTACAAAAACTAGTACTACGTAGTACGTAATGTATATATAGTATGTGAGATCACCCTTGGATTGGCTTAGTTGTTAGGTCATGAACTTGCGATAATGTGATTTACTCCGGGTTTGCTGCGCGCACGGCATCAGGTTCGTAAGGTTGGATTGATCGGGCACCAGTTACAGTCGCCCTGTGAGTTGTCAAAATTGTAAATTCTCGGGATAGAACTGTAAAATATCGTTTATACCGGTGGGGTACTTACTCTATGTACGTTCTACTAGTAGTTGTAGTAGAGCTTACCCGGTGGTACTTGTGTACGCGTGTGTGTAGAGAGACTAAGAGCATCTCCACCGCATCCCCAAATATGTCCCAACTCGATAATGGGACATCAGATGGAACAAAATCTTCCCCACCGGATGTCCCGAAAACCAAATTTGGGGTTTGGGGTTGGGACATCCACTTTGTCCCGAAAATTGCACACTATTGGGATATCCCACCAAATTGTCCCAACAAATATACTACGATTTGTATGGAAAAACCAAGCCCATTCGTGCAGTTTCCCAATGTCGGCTTCGGTATCGTGAACCACGCCTCTTCGTCGTCGGGCACGCGGACGATGTCGCTGAAAGAGAGTCACTAGCATTCACTGATACAGCGATATCTGGCCGATATCGCTGCGGCAGTGATATCACTGCCGGTGACTCTCGTTCCGACGCTGCGGCAGACGCGGGTTTGTCCAAGAGGCGCAACAGCATAAAGCTATGCGATCGCGCATCACAGACAAGAGTATGCATATGTCGACATCGACCTCTAGATTAGAACCAAGGCGGGGCAGATGAAGATCCCAGGCAAAACGCGATGCTACAATTCCTCCCATCCAACTACACGAACCAACAGAGCGCGTGGTGCAGCGCCGTCAACCCAGGCATGAAAGCAGAGGGTCGAAATTGATCAATACAATGAACGAGTGGATGAACGAAGATCTGCTGAAGTGTTTCTGTTACAGCCAAGGCATGCTTTCGTTCATGTTGAACAACACAGTTTTCACCCCGGAACGAGTCATGCAAGACCAGACTCAGCGCTTTACGTCCAGTCCACCAATGAAGAATGCTTCCAACATATGCTTAACGAGAAGCTACTTTCGTGAGTCGACGACTTCCTGCCTATGCTGACGATGCTGAAGAGTGCCTGCGAGCCCTGGAGGAAGTCGTGAACTTAGTTCACAAGTTTGGTATCAGCTTAGCCCGAGCAAGACCAAGCTATTCACGAAGGAAGTCAAATGGTGCGGACGAATCCTCGGCGGCGATAAAGTCAAGCAGGGCCCCGAACGCATCAAGGCGCTCTGCGAGATTCCATATTCACGAAGGAAGTCAAATGGTGCGGACGAATCCTCGGCGGCGATAATGTCAAGCAGGGCCCCGAACGCATCAAGGCTTGAAAAAGAAACGTACCCGATTGCCCGAGCCTGTGGCGATGTGACAGGTGGGTTAACGGCTTGCCACCACCTTGCCCGCACCCAGCTCCTAAGTACCTGGCTCATAACGCA